GGTTAAGTAAGGGCTCAGTCTACAAGACTATCCCCTGCTTCAGATGCCAGTCACAAAACCTGGTTGTCGCCTGTGCTTCTGACCAACTGGCTATAAATCAGAGGTACTTTGCTAGAGTGACTCACAGAGTTCAGGAAAACAGTTTACTTTCTAGATGGCTGGCTTCTCACACTGGGTGTGACTCCGGAATAGTCAGATGGAGGAGCAGCCTGGGGCCAAGGAGGAGGAAAGATTGTGGATTGACCATGTTCTCTGGGCATACCACCCTCCCAGCACCTCCATGTTTTCAGCAGCCCACGTGTTCTCCAAACCCCATCCTTTAGGTTTTTTATGGAGGCTTCATTAAGTGGGCATGATTGGTGAAATCATTGACCACTGGAGAGTAACTCAATCTCCAGCGCTCTGAACATGTGGTTGGTTCTGTTGGCAACCAGCCCCCTCCGTAGGGGCTTTCCAAAATTCACTCATTAACATAAACTCTGTGCTTAAAAGGGGCTTGTTATGAACAGCAAAAGACACCTTTATCTCTCATCACTTAGGAAATTCCAAGGGTTTTAGGAACAGGGATAAAAACCAAATATATATTTCTTATTATAAATCACAGTATCACACTGAGTAATAACCAAAAGTCAAAAAAGTTAATTTTTTCCCATAGTTTATGCAATGTGTATTTTTGCTGAGCTTCAGATGGAATTTGGGTTATAAAATATAGGAAGTGTACTAAAATGCTGTTCATTTTAGCTGTCTCCCCCACTTTGAAGCGGTTGTTCTTCTAGTCTTTTAAATCAGCTATGTAATACTTTTGTTATTCTCTGGTCTTATTTTGTAATTCGACACAATCCATTTTCACAGATCAAAGAGACCAATTCAGAGTCTGAAATGGAAAACTGGGTGGATTATGTTAATGATAGGTGAGTAATAAGCTAAAACATTGGGGAAAAGTTGTGAAATCTTAGATACTTATAAAATTCTAAGATATGTTCACTTAATCAGAAACTACCATTATCTCTCTTTAATTTTCTGCTATAAGAACATAGGAGCCCTAATAAGTTTATGTGTATTTATTTATTCATTCATCAAACATATAGGTATGGGCTGCATTCAAACCCAGATCGTGGCTGAAATCAGAAAAGCATAAGCCACGAAGAGGGTTCGGCAATCATTATAGATGATTTTTTTTTAACATGTACTTTATTTTGCAAATTTTCTACAATAAATTCAGGGAGAATTTTTTAAAGGAAAAATGTGAACTATGGTAAAGATTCATGGACACACATTATTTACATTTGTAAATATATATCCACAATGTCATTTTAAATCTGTTTTGTTTTCTAAGACCTACCAATGACATGAGATATCCAATGAAGTCAGAAAAAATACATGGTTTAGGATGGAGACCCAAAGTGCCTTGGAAAGAAGGAATAAAAAAGACAAGTACGTTATGAATTGATCCTTTTGGGGGAGATTCAGAAAAATTTAAAGGAAAAGTAATTTATTTTTAGAACACTCTAAATTCAGTAGAATGTTATGATGAATCCTTTCCACTTTTCAAAGTGTTACATTTAGTATGTTTCCAGCCATAGTAATCTATTTCCTAAGCATCTTGAATTTCACAGACTGACTTCTGATGAGTCTTCCTGTGTCTCATCAGTGTTTGTCAGAAACCTATTTCATTGATTCTCAGGTGCAAATTTGTCACTTTTTGCACATCCTTTAAAGGTATGTGGTTTAAAGTCACAAATGTCTTATTATTATTGCATCTTTCTTTCTTTCTTTCTTTCTTTCTTTCTTTCTTTCTTTCTTTCTTTCTTCCTTCCTTTTCTTGGTAACATGTAAAATAACGTTTACAGGTCCATTTTAACCTCAGTGGCATCTTAGATTTGATGACATCTGGACAGTTGCAGTCTTTGAGTGTCTGAAGCCTTTTTTACATTGAAACAAACAAAATTTAGTTGTGTGAAGAAATGTCCATTAAAATAAGTGTATAGAATCTGTGTATATATATGTTAAAGTTCGGTTTAAAAATGTATTCATGAGAAAAGATAAACTCACATGTAGAGAAAAAGTCTTCATTCAGAGCTTGACATACAGAATACTTGTGTTGAATTTTTGAAAGCAAATTCAAAGATAATTTATCATTTTTTAACTAAGAAAAACTTTCCTGATAATATAACAATATAAAATGACTTTACATATTAACAGAAGAAAAATCACACCTTCTCATTGTGCCTGGAATGCTGTATTGCTACATTCACTTGAACAAAAAATTACTTGTCCTATAGCTTTAAAACCAGTGCAAATGACGTATCTCTCCTTCTCCCTCAATTTCTTAAAGTCAGAATTTCTTCAACACTTATACCAGCACATTCAGTATTGAATGACTTTTGAAATTAAAAACAAACAAACAAACAAATGATAACTGTCTTTTAAATCTAAGTTTCGGGTACTGAAACATCTTGTGATTAATGACCTTGATTGGTTCAAAATCAAGCTGTTTTCATTAGGCATCCCTTTGGCAAGACTGATTCTTACTTAAATTAAGAATCTGAGTACAGTTAGCTGAGTGGCTGATGGGTAAGATTTTTCTGACTTAGCAGGAACTCAGTAAATGCTGATTAACTGGTGTTTTGTGTTTTGTTTTTTATTTTTGTCCTTTGGTTTTTTTCCTCTCAGTTGACTGGTACAGAGAGAATTTTCACAACTGGAAGAATGCAGAAAAGGCATTGGAACCCTTTCCAGTACAACCACCGTTTGTATAGTCAAGACAGTTTTCAGAGAAAGAAGAAAATTATCCTACCTCCACAAGCCATGGGAAACCAAGTGACCAAAAGGTGTCCTCTTTTCTTTTGGAATTAGATTCATGACTTTTTGCATAAAATTCAAATGCAAAACACCTCAATCTTTAGAATAGGTTTGGTGCTGGCATAGGATTTAAATTTCAAGATTCTTTCCAAAAACCTTTCTCCTGAAAGTTAGGCACCAGAAGTCCTAGAAAGACCTTTCGTAGGAAGGGGCCAGGAAAATGGAATCTCATGGTTCTGAGAACAAGGACCGAGCCCAGTTCTGCGCTGACGACAGCCTTCGCGGGCCCTGAACTCAGTTGCCCAACCTTCCCCACTGCCTACAAAGTCTCTCAAGTTTCCATTTTTAGGCAACATAGGATGAGCTGTCTGTCCTCATTCATCTTTTTTATTAAAGGTCTGATATGCTATAATTGCTTTAAAAGTGGAACAATGGAAGCATATCTAGCACTTTTTAACTTTAGATAATTTTGTAAAATTAAGTTAAATGTTTTTTAAAAGAAGGATGTAGTTTTTACATTTTCAAAATCAGTTGTTGGACTATATATGAGTAATCTCATAGGAGAGATTTTTATCATGTATTTGCCATTTAAAATGATTTTATTTATAAAAGTATCACTATTGTAACATATTTAATGTAGAACGTGGCTTTATTTTTACTAAGGTATGTTTTTATTTTGCTGTAGAAAAAATTTTTAAATATCTTGATTAAATACTTTTAATTCCTCTCTCTCCTAAAGACTTTAAGATGGCTTGAAAAAGCAGCTGACTGGATATTGCATTGAGAAAGGGTGAGGAGTTCAAGGTTGTGCCCAGCTTTCTGGCTTCCGTGCATGTGTGATGACTTCTTTCCTCCGTGAGGTGGAAAGCTAGGTCATTCACTCACAGGTGGTTAAAAGTAAGAGGGGTAAGGGTGGAGTAAGGGCCTCGAAGAGGTGGAGATCGGGAAAAGAATAAGCAGCTCCAAAGTTGGAAGAGGATTTGCCAAGCAGGAGTGAAACACAAACTGACGTTGAATACAGTCATTTCAGGATTCTGAGATGTGGGGGCACATGGGTGGCTCAGTCAGTTAAGCATCAGACTCTTGATTTCGGTCAGATCGTGATCTCACAGTTTGTGAGTTCAAGCCCCGAGTTGGGCTCTGTGCTTAGTGTGGAACCTGCTTGGGATTCTCTCTCTCCCTCTCTCTTTGTCCCTCCCCTGCTTGTGGTCTCTCTCTTTCTAAAAATAAATAAACATTAAAAAAATAATAATTCTGAGATGTGCAAAGTGGATTGATCCAGAGGTAGGCATAGTAGGAGTCGGGAGGGGCCGAGGGGCAGAGGGCTAAGAATAAGCAAAGAGTGAGGCCCCCTAGTCCCGATTGCTTAGGGAAGAAAATTCCTCCTGGGGGTTGGCTGTAGCTAGAGGAAATGGAGAGGGGACCAGGCATGGAGGTGTGGCAGTGAGAGGTTGCGGAGGCTGGGAAGTTACAGGCAGAAAATGGGACCAACTGAGAGCAGATGGTCTTTTGGTAGAGTCTGGTCATTGAGAGTAGATGACAAAAACACTGTTTTCTGTGGCATTTAGTTTTGTACATATTTTTGTGTGCCTTTATTCCCAACTTTAATATACTCAATATGGCTTAACTTTATCATTTATTTAGTCTCAGGAGATGACTGGACAGGCATTAAGAACATATAATGAAAAACCAGTGGAAACAAATTTATGTAAAAGTGTTAAAAAAAATGAACGTTCTACGTCATATGTCATCAGAGAAGCGCAGATTAAAACAAAAACTAGATACCTATTAGAATGACCACATCTGGAACACTGACAGCAACAAATACCGACAAGTGTGCGGAGCAACAGGAACTCTCCTACACCTGCTGTTGGGAATGCAAAATGGTACAGCCACGTTGGAAGACAGTTTGGCAGTTTTCTTACAAAAGTAAACACCTTTTTTTTTTTTAATTTTTTTTTTCAACGTTTATTTATTTTTGGGACAGAGAGAGAGACAGAGCATGAACGGGGGAGGGGCAGAGAGAGAGGGAGACACAGAATCGGAAACAGGCTCCAGGCTCTGAGCCATCAGCCCAGAGCCCGATGCGGGGCTCGAACTCACGGACCACGAGATCGTGACCTGGCTGAAGTCGGACGCTTAACCGACTGCGCCACCCAGGCGCCCCAAAACATACCTTTACCACATGATCCAGCATTCACACTCCTTGGTATTTACGCCAAGGAATTGAAACTATGTCCACACAAAAACCTGCACACAGATGTCTCTAGTAACATTATTCATAGTTGTCGAGACTTGGAAGCAACCAAGATGTCCAATAGGTGAACGGATAAATAAACTGGTGCATCCAAACTGCATGAGCTGTCCAGCCATAGAAAGGACATGGAGAAAGCTTACCTTACATGCACATTACCATATGTAGGAAGCCAATCTGAAAGGAGCGTGCAGGAAACATGCTGAGACAAAGTAACGCCTGTAACGATAAAAGAGGAAGCAAGACTGGGCAGGATAATGGTGCTGGCTCGGGCTCTGCAGGCAGAAAGGGCAAATCCATATGGAAAACGTTATCTCTTGTGAGAATAAACCACTGGCCCTTTCAGGATGAAAAGGGCTCCAATGGAATCAACTTGCCACCAAGTACCTGATGGGTTTCTTCAAGGGATCGTGCCACATTGGGGCTCAGCCTTTGTCTGTTGCCAGCAGGATGGATGTGCAGAAGTGGCAGTGGCTAGATTGGCCTTGGTAAGTGAGAATCTGTGCTGGGGGCCCCACGAGTAGGTTCCGTCTCTACAACTATGGTGACTGCATTCAGACGCCCACTGTGGCAGTTCTGGGGTAGTTGATGGTGAAGCCTAGCCAAAGTTAACTGACCACCTCATCTTGTCTACCAAATGGTTCAGTGACTCTTCCATGGTGGTTGTTTTCTGGTGGGCATTAACATGGGATAAACAGATCTTCATACTCCCCAACCACCCCCATGCGGCCATTCACATGCCTCCAAACCTGTCTTATCTCTGCATCTCTAGTCTTTTTCCTTCCAAGTCCCTGAAGTGGCTTAACCAGGCCATTCACCACTGTCTATGAGTTCATACATTTCTCAGTTCAGGTCACTTCTCTACAGAGTGAATAACCAGGTATGCTGCTCAAAGCTCTGCCCTTTCATGGATCTCTCCTTTGCACATTCTTTTAAAGCCACCCCTATGTGGCTTTAATGCAGCCACCATCCATCCACGTTTGGTTTGTATACACATGACAAGCCAACCCATCTATAAGCTAAGCTTAGGGTTTTCTTTTTTCTTCCCCTTTTCAGTTGGTTGTACAGAACCCTCCACAAGGCCACAGGTGTAAGCTGAGAGAGGTATAACCAAGCTGGTGACATGGGACTCTAGCCTAAATGCTCTTGCAGCTCATTGGTGCCCTCTGATTCCTCAGGCTCGGTCCTGATGGGCCATTTTCATCTTACCATGGACTGCTGCAGGGGCCACCTGACTTTATGGCTAGTTGGGTGTGTCAGTTTCCTAGAGCCTCCATAACAAAATACCACAGACTGGGTGGCTGAAACAAGAGAAATTTATTTTCTCCTAGCTCTGGAGGCTGGATGTCTGACATCAAGTTGTTGGCAGGCTTGGTTTCTTCTGGAGCCTCTCTCCTTGGCTTATTGATGGTGACCTTCTCCCTGTCTTCACGTGGTCATCTCTCTGTGCATGCTCATGTCTGTGTCTAAATTCACACTTCTTACAGGGACATTGCTCACATTGGATTACCGCCCCCACCCCCAAGACCTCATTTTAATTTAATTCTCTCTTCGAAACCCTTATTTCCAAATGCAGTCACATTCTGAGGTATTAGAGGTTGGGACTTCAACATATGAATTTGGGGAGGGAGGCTCAATTCAGCTCACAATAGTGAGTCCAATAGAACCTGGCACATTATGGACAGTCCTGAAATGTGGTCATTTGATGTCCTCTGGTCAAGCATTCTGTCTCTTCCAGGGCCCAGTAAACTGCCAGGAGCTGTTTTCTAAAACCCTAAAATTCTCAGGGCACCTGGGTGGCTCCATTGGTAAAGTGTCTGACTCTTGATATTGGCTCAGGTCATGATCTCATGGTTCACGGGATCAAGCCCCGCATCAGGCTCTGTGCTGATAGCACAAAGCCTGCTTGGGATTCTCTCTCTCTCTCTCTCTCTCTCTCTCTCTCTCTCTCT